TATATATTGTGATCGGCTCAGGGGGCCTATCCCCGAACTGAGTCTAGGGTTTAGCGTTTAGGTCTCGGCCGAGTAGTGTCAGAAATTTGAGAACAAAGAAAATGTCACGGGATAAAACACTGTGAACATTTTTGGGCCGGGTTTTAGCGAGTCCTTAGCGAGTGTCCGCAGTCAGAAGAATATGCTCTTAGACCATCGCAAAATGGTGAACATGAAGGTGAGATTGATGACTTAGTCAAGCAGAGCATAATCGCTCAGCAGGAAAATAAAGAGATCCTTTGGTCAGGAAAATTCCTGATGGTTTCCAAAAATCTCAGGACCACCCCAAAGACGAAGGATGACTGGCGGTATTGTACTAATTTTGCACAGAGGAATGCTAAGCTGAAGCAGGAGTCTTTCAACATCCCTATGGAGGGTGAGATGTTTGGTCACGTTGCTGGTAAGTCGTGGTTGTTTGTCGTCGATTGTGGATATTGATTTAACCAGCTTTCGCTGGAGGAAAAATAATAATAAAAGTTTGACAGTCCGTCCCCAGGTTGGCGTGGTAGGGCCCTAGGGATCAAAACTGTTTTATAATAGTCAACGTTCTATCTTAGCATTACAGATTCCATCATCATCTTTTGCTTTGTCTCGTTCTGCTGCTGCCAGAACATTGATTTCTCTATAATGAATCACTTCCTTTTCACGTAGCGAGCATCTGACCGGTCCTTGATTCCGAGCGCACTAACCTCTTCTTCGTTTGTTCTTCTTTTGACCTTTATGATTTGTTGTTTGACAACAGCATTGACTACCCAAACACGAGTATGTTTCGTCGTTACCGCACGGCGTTTCGCATTCCAGACATCGTTCACGCTCATCACACTGGCCCCATCTGTGACGGTGGGTTGCAACAGGGCATGGCCAATATGGATCAGCCTGCTGTGTAACAGAATTCTCCTCTTTGGGTTCTAACATTATGCTGAACTTAGGATATACGAGCTAGAACAGTAGCACGCTTGCACGAGAATACCTCACAAATACGATAGTGAACGACAAGTATGTGTTTTTTTGTGTACTGATCAAATTTAGTTCGAAAACTGGTTGGTCCTCACAGGGTGGCTTGACGGGAATACTTTGGTGTTGACTATTTATGTATGACTTACAGTTGTGTTTTGCCACCAGGTGCAAACTACCCAGTATAACTACCTTTTGAACTAAGCTAGTTAAGTGATAACTTCCAACGAGAGATCGTCTTTAAAATGTCTGTTCTAACATTCTCTACCTTTTGATTGGTTGATTTACACGATGCCGGGTTAACTGTCTACCCCGAAAAAGAAGAGTCAACCTGGGTGATTTGTACCGGAGTGAAATTTATTTTCGTGAAAGTGGCTTTTATATATTACCAACTACTGCGCCGGATATTGGAAAGCGGTAGCAATACGCCCGCGCTTTCTCAATATAACCATAGGTGGCATAATTTCGATGGCTGCAAATCTTTGGGAAATCAACGTCCCAGTCAAGACCCAATAGGGATTGGCGTGTATCACTTAAAAGCATTAATGGACAGTTTGACCCTTGTAGAATTTTGATGAACTTCGAATCTTCTCCTTCGGGCAAGGAAATCCTGAATTTTAGGCAAATCACAGGGAGACATACTAGTGACGGAATGATAGTATGTTGATAGCGCTGATGGAGGAGGTCTATGTATGCGCCGTCATCGTTTAACTCACGAGCAGAGTCCCGACGATCACCAATCTCTATAGCAAAATTTGGAAGAGTCCGGACGACGGGATGTAAAATATTCGGCCGTGGTTGACTGAAATACTCAGCCTGAATAAATGTCGCATGCTTGGTATTTCGGTTTGGTTTGGAATCAAATTCTCCATTTTGGAAGGTATTAGGAGATTTTAAATCCAGAGCACAATCTCGAAGTTCTTCATCTTGTAACCCTCCTTCGTCAGTGATTCCACATGTTCCGAAAAACAACCATTTTTGAATTACCTTCTGAATCTAAGGCCGGGTAGTAGGTTCAACCTCGAAGAGTAGCTCCGGACTTGGAACATTTGGGTCACCATGTTGTGATCGATATTCTGTAGTGGTCCAAGACTTCCGCAGCATGAGGTACACAGCAGTTTTGAAGCCTTAGTCTGGCCCAGGATAGCTGACTTCAAATCTGGTATTCCAACGCATATACGATTGAACATATGCGAACCAGCTCAAAAAAATACTTAGGAACTATACTCATCGCCTATAGAAATTTACTGGGTGTAATTCTTTATTTTTATCCGAATCCATCTATGTACAATGTTTTCCTTTCACGCTAAATCTACATGAGAGTATCTTCTTCTCTCAAATATTGTCCAATGTCACACTGGTGAAACGCCACAGTTGCGGTCGGATCTACCTTACGACAGTCCGCGGTCGAGTAAGCAGCTACACCAAAGCCCTGTGAGGGTGGTACAAAGCAAGAGCATGTAAGAGATACAACAAGAACTTATAAGCATAGTTGTGACGGAATTCGAATTAGAGTTAAAAAGGTTTGCGAAATCTCTGACTACACACAGAAGGGCACACGCAGATGGCATCATAAAGACCGCAAAATTACCCAAGAATAGAGGATCCCAGAGAAAACACACACAACAGCACACGCAGACAGAGTCAGAATGTCTGCAAATTAAATCGAAGCATAGAGGAACTCAGAAGGAAATGGTGAGGAAGCGCAAGTACATAGCATAAGACAGTCTGCAAGATATCCAATTCTTTAATGCAGCCCGAGTGTACCCATAGATATCCCAGTCACAAAGTAGAAGACTGAAGTAGAAGACTGCTACGTAGTTACTTCGAGTCCACAGACAGCGAACGTGTGCACTAGAAGGGACTCCAGTGTACCTGACCAGAGGACAAGACGGGAGTGTGGACATACAGATACAGGAGAATACAACAAAGGCGCCTGACAGGTAATTGACCTGGAAAACAGCTCAGATATATGGACAGTAACGGGATCCGATCAAGAGATACTATACAGCTTGCATGTATGTACAGCAGCGACAGCTAATATAGATCAGATCAACTACCATTCACCCGATTCACAAAACCAACCATTGAAGTCGTGTATCAATTGGACCTCCCAAGGTACATGGAATCAGAACGATTGCCATTTAACCGAAGACTTCAGAGGGATCTGGTGAACTCAAGAATACAAAGAATAAACTACACATCCAATCAAACACCACCAAATTAATTCATGCCCACGATTACGGTCACATGTACATACTCTATGACCGTTCTACGCACACACATACACCATGATCAGACATATCACATAAACATATACAAACATCATTCTGTGTACTATCACGTTCGTGTGCACGCGTCAACTTACCAACGGCGTGTCTTGCATATTGAATATGACAACACCAGAGTATTGCTCTGTGCTTTCTGTGATGCGGCCAAGGCCTGATTTCATAACATGGTTGCCGTAGAGGAACGACTGCTCAGCCTGGGGTTTAAGCCACACTTTGTACTGGCAAGGTAGAGGGTACAATAAAGGGTAAGATGCAATATACTGTCCATGTACTGTAAGTCTGTATATTTACACAGCATGCTTTTATAACACGGTCACCGCCATGAGTAGTATGCGAGGTCAAATGCGATGTACTTGTATGTAGCTGTGGGCTATGCTCAACTCTGTAGCAAAATTGCCGTAAAGAACCGATTGTTCAGTCTGAAATTTATTGGATACACTATACTGTCATGATACTGTTGGTACCCTAAGCGAAATTAATTATTGTCGTAGTAGGAAGTTATGTGTGAGGCCAGATTCAATGAACACCACAAAAATAAAATGAGGTAGGGACACACACACATAATGAGCCCATGGAGGGTAGATCCCATCTAATCTTCTACATAGCGGACCATAGTGATGGTACCGATATTCAGCCAGTGGACATGCATTACGCCACGCGCTATGTCAATGTATATTCAGTAGTGTATGCATAATACCGCACACTATCACACGTGTCTTGGTATGGGATCAGTTGTACCAAGGCATGTACGTACATATACTCACCTTTGCGTATTGTGCTAATTGCGGGAGGGCTGTGATCTGCAGACGAAATTTCCCACTGCCGGTGAATTTGCCCAGACAGACTCCCAGACTAACCAACTTTGGAAGAACAGAGTTCAATGGTACGTATTTGACTAGTTTAGTACCGAGAGGTTTAGAGATTAATCAACCGAAGTACTATGAAGTGACACACAAAGACACAGACACACGAATATATATATATATATATATTTATATACACGGACAGACATATATATATGTAAACATATAGACATATCGACATATATATATATATACATACGTACGTGATGGAGTTACCCTCGAACCCGCCTAACGCCCGAGCATTCCCATGTATATGAACCGAGTGATTTTTTTTTAAATTTATGTTCTAAAAAACAAACATTCGTGCAAATTAGACTGACATTATACACGCATATCAACACACTAAACCTGAACGCATACGCTCTCTCACACCCTATAGATACACATACACACACACCTCCAAAAGTGCATCCACATACTTGTTCTCTGCCGATGTTTGTGGCCCTGAGCATGATATCTTCTCGCACATAGTACACGCGGTCTTTCTGCATTCGGAAGACGTAGTTTCCATCCGCTCTGTCGATCATGTGTTTCAGATTCGTTCCGATACTAGTTGGGGAGTATGATCGCGGCGATTAAAGGTCATACATGGAATATAAATAAAATAAAATATAAAACAATGACCTATGATAATATATCATATTATATGTCATATAATTATAAACATGAATACACGCACAAACACACACACACATATATATATATATGTGTATCCATATCCGTACGTGAAAGTATATGTACATGTCTCCATACGGTAGAGATATATGCCCACACACACATATATACACAAGACATTGAAAAATCAAGAATATACATATATGCATAGATATATTTATATATATATTTATACACACACTTACACACACATATATATATATATGTATTCATATATAAACGCGTGGGTATATCTTTAAACACACAAACACACACATATATATACATACATACATATATACACGTACAAACATATATACATGCACAAACACACACACGCGCATATATATATATATACACACATACATATATATATATATATATACAGATTCATATACAACACATACATATATATATATATATACATACATATAAATGTATACTCCTATACATATAAATACATACCTACTTACGTAGATACAAATACAGGCACACACACATACATACATCATACATAGATATATATATGCGCGCTCACACACACAAATATAAAAAAATACCATATTTATCTTTATGTACACACACACACATATATATAAAGATATACAGTTGTATATATATGTACAATTATATATATACATATAAATATAAATATATATATATACATGTACATATATACACACATTAACATATATACATACTTACATACAAACATACATATATATATATAACATATATACACAAACACACACACACACATATATATATATATATATATAGATGCCGACACAGACACAGACAAAGACACATGCAGGTACACACACACACAAGTGTACATACAAAAACACATATGTGCACGAACATGAACACGAAAACAAACACACAAAAGCACACACACACACGCGCACGCACACACACACGCGCACGCACACACACACACACACAAACGCACACACATATATATATGGAATAGCGGGTGCATATATATACGTACATTTGTATATGTTTGCATATGATATGGTATGCTCTCAATTCTATACTTTCTACACCTATTTTTGCAAAGTTATGTATTAATTACTGCATCATTTTAGATTACTGGCGATTATTTAACACCTACAACGTTCCACATGTGCTTCGGCAACCGTTGCAATCGGTCAAAGGCAAAGTAGTACTTTCGACATACTATTTAACCAGTTTCTCGAATACGACCGTAGTCTCCTCTTCTGTTAGGGGTCTCATATTTATATAAATGTATAGATGTGTATTGTGTGTGAGTATCAATATAAGGTACTTCTGCTGATTTCCTAGGGTGCATATAGGTGTACTGTCCGCTATAATGTTTACTGAGGTCACTGGATCCGTTCAGTTATTACGACATTGCACGTGCGCTATTTTATTGCCAAAAATTCGGTCATCGGTTTTCTCAGCTTTTCCAGTGTTTTTGTTTAAAAAAAAAAGGACACGGAATTGTAGAGATTTAGGAATAGTTCGGTACCCCTTGCATGTCATATTTACATGGTTACGTCACTACTCAGTAACTTTTTGCCGAGGGTAGAAATTCGAACCTGGCAACGCCTATTCTTTATATATATAGCAAAACCATTGACCAGACGCACTGTGTATGTACCCTGCTGGTCCTGGAGTGCTGACGCAATTGTTGACTGTACTTAAAAAATTGCATTTGAACTACTTGCGTACATTTGTTTAAATCTGTGTCTGATATAGAACTGAAGGCTATGCTATTAGTCTATTATATAGAAATACAGGCATCATAAATTCATAATCCGCTATTGACAGTCACATCATAATTAGTTAGATTCATATTGAAAGTAGTACATATTGTATAGGCGCTCGAAGGAACATAATGTCAATCACAGACTTCAGCAATGAAGGTCTGCGCCAGAGACGTTCGGACTGGGATATAGATGATAAATATAGTAAAGACCATGATATCAAGGGAAAGGTGTGTATTGCTTTTGTCACCAATAGTAGCGTATATATGCTTTCGTATGTAAGGTAGTCCAAGAAATACATGTCGCACATCTGAACGTGACATCCAAATAACCAATTATAAAGACATTCCATATCGAACGCACTACCCACCAAACCCACTCACCCACGCCTCCCCCCCGCGCCTCCCCCATTCCCACCCACCCACACACACACAC